CTAAAAAGTAGATGAAAAAATGCTCAACATCACTAACCATTAGGGAAATGCAAATCAAAACCACAATAAGATATCATCTCACCCCAGTTAAAATGGCAATTATCAAAAAGACAAAAAAATAACAAATGCTGGTGAGGATGCAGAGAAAGGGGAACTCTTATACACTGTTGGTGGGAATGTAAATTCATATAGTCATTATGGAAGACAGTATGGAAGTTCCTCAAAAAGCTAAAACAGAATTGCTATATGATCCAGCAGTCCCACTTCTGGGAAAGGAAATCACAGTGTTGAAGAGATATCTGGACTCCCATGTTGCAACACTATTCACAATAGCCACGAAATGGAATCAACTTGTGTCCATCAACAGATGAATGGATAAAGAAAATCTGGTATATATACACAATGGAATATTAGTCATAAAAAGCATGAAATCCTGTCATTTGTGGCAACATGGATGAGCTCGGAGGGCATGATGTTAAGTGAAATAAGCCAACCACAGAAAGACAAATGCCACATGTTCTCACTCATATATGGGGGCTAAAAAAATTGATCTCACAGAAGTAGAGAATAGAAGAGAGAATACCAAAGGCTGGGAAAGTTAGGAGGAGGGGGCATGGGGAGAGGTTGATTAATAGGTACAAAATTACAGTTAAATATGAGGAATAAGTTCTAGTGTTATAGGGTGACTATAGTTAACAATAATTTACTATTTATTTCAAAACAGCTAGAAGAGAGGATTTTGAATGTTCCTAACACAAAGAAGTGGTAAATGTTTGAGGTGATGAATACCTCAATTACACTGATTTGACCATTACACATTGTATACATGTATTATATGTATACATGAAATATAACATGTATTCCATAAATATGTATAATAATTATGGATCATTTTAGAAAAAGAATCCAAAAAATTATTTGCACTGAGTAAAATGAAAAATAAATAAAATTTCAGATCTCTTTATTACTTAAGAAGCAATGAATCAATCTTTACTTTTTCTAGATATAAAGCCAAATTCCCAACTCATAATTTCCTTTGCCTCCTAAAAATTGTCCTTTTCTTAACATCTTCCAAAGCGTTCATCTTCCTATGTTCTTCTTTCCCCTTCTGCCTCCCCCTCCTTCCTCTGTTTTCCCCCTTTCTCTTTCTCTTCCTACCCTCTTTCCTCCCTCCACTTAAAAAAAATTTTTTTTAAAGGATATCCAGGTTTAATTTTCCCAATTATAGTTTTGGTTCCCTGGTATGCATCTCTTTCTCCATTTTCAACCACTGAGAATCTATTTTGCTAAAATGTCAGAATTTACTCATGTATTGGCCCTTTATGCATTTGGAGAAAAGGATTTTTAAAAAGTCACATAATCCTCAACCCCCACTCAAATAATAAAAGCTGCCCACACTAGTAATACAGAGTGGGAAAATATAATGAATAATAAGAATCCATTTATATTAGTAGTAGTAACCAAAATTAACTATTGGATATTATTTTTAACTAGACAAACTCTAAAACCCTAATGGTACTGAAGACTTGTTTTTATAACATTGATAAGGTTCTGAACTTTCATGTCAGTGGATCTGGGCCATCTGCATGGTTTCCCATAGAGCAAGCTGGAACTGTCTTGATATCGCTCATGTATAGGAATCCAGCACAGGCAGAATGCAATGAACATTTTGGAGGGAGTAAAGGTTACTTGGACATGAGGCAGATCTTTCTACACAACAGTATGATCACAGAGTCAATGTCAAATTCTCATAGATTTTATTTGCTTTTATTTTGTTACCATGAAAAATAAATTTGCTATTTGTACACTGTTGTGTATATGACTGTTTACAGAACAAAAAGAACTATGACCACTTAACATTACAGACTTTGTGTACTTAGGGAATCCTTCTATGTTCCTGAGCATTACAGAATTATTGCTCCTCTGGGAAACTGTGGGAGGTACATGCTACTCTCCACCCCACTGCTTTCACCCACATCATGATATTGAACTTCACACCACTAAGGAAATGTGGCAATTCTTGCACCCTTAGCTTGTTGAAAGAACCTGTAATTGGTGCATATTGTGTTTATTTGTTTAGACTAAAGACTGAAGTCACTGAAGCAAGGACTTGTTTTCAACTCTAAATCTCAACACTTAGCTTGCAGAGCCAGGCCAACAGTCAGTGAGAACCTAAGAACATTTTGTGAAATGAGTGTGTCAATACAGAAACCCTTTAGGCAGAACCAGTAGCACAGCTTCTTGGAGTTCAGGTTTATTTAGGAAGTTGGCATTTAAGGCCTCTTTTGTTCTTTATTCTTAGTGGCTCTTGAAAGCATTTTTACTGTTCTCATAGTTTTGATGTGATAATTTTCCTTATAACACCCCACTCCAATATTAGGATCTTTAGCTTTTTTGACACGATACTAACACTTAACCTCTTTCAGTACTCTTAAAATTGTGTGTTCTCATTTCTATGCCCAAGCAAGTTTTGACTTGCAACTTAGAATTGAGTATTTAAGTCTACATACTATTCATGAGAAAGTGAGTAGAACTGTTTCCCCAAAAAAGTCAAAAGAACTATCTCTTGGGTTAGTGGTTTTAACTGAAGGTGGGAGGTTTTAAACTTTTCTCCCTTGTGGTCTTGGCAAAGCAACTATTTAAAAAAATTGCACATAAAAATAATATTATTCTGGGGCGGGGGCAGAAAAAAATAATATTGTTCAAGCAAATCATACACCGTTGTGTGTGTGTGTGGGGGGCAGATAGAGATGGAGATTGACAGTGCTCTAACTGTAGACATTCATTCCCCATTCAAATATTTAGAATTTTCAGTAGCCTGTGAATACAAGAAAATTTATTACATTAGGGTAGACTTTACAGAGTTGACATGTAGCTGATATTTTCACAGTGTGAGAAATATCAAGCTGACATTATGCTGTCTCTGTGATGATTATTTCCAAATGTCAGAGTGCAGAAACATGTTCATGGGACTTCAGTGCCTTAGTTAGGATGGTGTCAATTTAAAAGACGTTCATATTATCTTTTTTTGATTTCAACATGAAGTATGAAAAGCAGGTTAAGAAATCAACAGAAAGAGGAAGAGCAAAGAAGAAACCTATTGACAAGAAAATTTCAAATAATAGATTGATGTACTCTCAAATCAATTTCCATGGACCCCTTGCTGACAGCAGGCTTTTGCAACTGCCTTCTAATACTTCTGACAGCTGTAATCTTGCTGTTCATATTATTTCACTCAAATCACTTATATTAAATTTGAAAAATTAAAAATAGGATAAAAACTTAGATTATTTTGTAGACTACCTTTAATAAATAAGTCAAATAACTAAATTATTTGCCTTTAAGTAGTAACACTGGACTTCAAATTAAAATCAAATAACTTAGTGATATTTTAAATTAAGAATTTATTCTTTTGTTAACCAATCTCGTTAGCAGTTAATTATGAACCTACTGAACTGCTTGAACTTCTGCTATTTTGGAAATAACTCAAAGGAGTTTTTTTTAAAACCAGTTGGCCACATCGGGGATAACTATGAGTTTAAATAAACCTTTCTCGTTCCAATTATGTGCACAGCAGTGCTCCTAATTACTTGGGGTCACTGAAATCCCATGGCATCTTCTGAAAAGCTTTTCCCCTGCAGTCCATCTTGTTAGGTTTCTTTTCTGTTCCAGGAAGCCAGTATCTTTCCCTTTTTCAAATCCCTTTTTTGGGCAACAGTGCAAATGGTAATGGTAACATGGATTCAGGCAACTTTGTTTTGACTTCTGTAGGTCACTATGTAGCTACCTAAATTCCCTGATTTATTTCATATAATGTTATTTCTGATACAAACAAAAGTTCTGGGACTTCCCTGAGCAAGAACAGCTGCTTTTTGGGGCTGCCAAATTTTAAATTGTTACTTGAAAATCAAAAGGACAAGCCAAACATGCTGAGAGACAGAACTACTACAGAGGAGCATTGTAATCTTGTTCGCTAAAATGAAAGCCCAAAAAGAACGGATTGCTAATTCTGTTATCCAAGTGGTGTTGCTCAAAGTTTTAAATTTAGGTGCTGAATTCAAGGATCATAATTTCATTATTACGCATCGAGAGTCACAGGGGTAATACACACATTGTATTGTATGCATCGAATACCACAAAATGAAAACATTGAAAAGCTAGCGTTTGCTAGTGTTTACACTCTTGGGTCATACCCCCAACGGCCCAGGAGTTCCACTGGCCGCTTTCAGGAGGGCTGTCCCCTGTGAAGGCAGGAGACAAATGGGAGCGTTAGGACTTTGCTCCCAGGACCTTGGCGCGTAGTTCCCCACAAGGGCCAGGGCCACCCCAGTCGAGACCTTGAGAAGAAGGCTAGGGCTGGCAGGTCCGATGCTTTCCTTTGCACCCGCTGTGGGAAAGAGGTCCCGGAATGAGGACCTTGTCTGGAGTCCCAGCGCCAGGAGCAGCTCAGCGTCCTGGAGGCTGTTACTAACTGGGCCTTATCTAGGTTTCCCAGACCGCCTGGGTCCTTAACGGCTCCACAAGGGCGGAGAATTTCTTCTGTTTTGTTAACTGTGCTGTATCTCCAACACCTAGTTCAATCCTGAGCCGGACACGCTCACCTCGTCTTCTGGTCACCGCCCTGTTTGTTTCTTTTCTCCCTAACTGCCAAGTTCCTCCCGCCCTGTTTATCTTCACCCCGCAGCCCAAGGCCGAATCTGGGCGGGGATGGGAGTGCTCTAAATCTGGGGCTAAAGTTAGAGGATTTCAGGCTTTGCTGGGAGGCCTCCTTCCCTCAGGAAAGCCGAAGGTGAGCTGGGCTGTTGTCTCAGGTAGAGACCCAGGCACCAGACCTCCGGCCTTGGAGAAAAACCCCAAACCAGCCACGCTGCGGGTCCTTCACTCGGGAGTTAAAGAGCAGAGCTTCTGGGCGGGACTCCCGAGGGCCCCGCCCCGCCCCGCAGTGTTGGCGCGCGGCGCCCCCTGGTGGCCGCCTGGCCGCGTTGCTCCCATCTGGCGGCGGCGGCGGCGGCGGAAGGGGAAGCGCTGAAGCGGCGGGGCCGAGCAGCCATGGAGGAGCCGGTGCGGGAGGAGCTCTCGGCCCTGGCCGCGATTTTCTGCGGGCCCCACGAGTGGGAGGTGCTGAGCCGCTCAGGTGACTACCCCCATGCGGGAGGGACACGGCACCCGTGGTCTCCCCGCGGCGCCCTCTCCTCCCCACCACGAAGCCGGGGCCCACGTTGGGGATCCGGTTAGTGGAATGATGGAATGACTCGCACCGGGGACTGCAGTTGCGGCGGAGCAGACGCGAGTGCGAGGCGGCGCCCTAAAACGCGAATGGCACCGCGCGGCCCACGCTTGGCCCCTGCCGGTGCATTAGCCACCGCGCGCCGGGCCCACTCCCCGACTCGTCGAGCTTGGTGACCCGCGCCCCCCACCCTGAGCGCGCGCCCCCACGCCTTTGCCAGCCGTCCACTTGTCCTTCAGCTCTCACCTTAAAAAGAGGCCTATGCTGACACCCAACCCCCCTTGGAAATCCAGCTTCCCCGCGTTGTTTTATGTCCTTCATAAGCACTGTGCATTAGGCCTTTGAGGGCACTCACCACAGTTTTAACTCTGTTTGGGTATTTGGTCGTCTTAAGTTGCACAAAGGCAGGGACCCTGTCTGTTTTGTAATCACAAAACTCCAGGCACCTAAAACAGTGCCAGCCAGGCACATGGTAGATAAACAGTAACTTGCACTCTACTTCCAGGTTGATTGCTTTTTCTCTTATTTTTTTAAACAAGTTTTTAGGGGCACATTAATCGTTCAGCCCACATTTGTTGAATATCTGCTCTGTGCAAACACTGGCAGGATCTTAAAGGCACCGCCTGTGTCCTCGAATAGCTAAAACTTATTCTGTCCTGGTCTATGGCTTTTATTAAGTAACAAAGAAACCCGCCACTTAGAAGAAAGTGCAGTGATGCAGATAATTCTCAGTTTCACTTAATTAACAAATACTTTATGCACATTTTGGGGGGCATGGGATTTATCCTACTAATGTGAGGTTGTAGCTACTATTAAAATTGTCCTTCTGACCATAAATTGGTTGACCTTTAAGAAGGTAGTCTAAAATGGGCTGGATGTTGTGAGAAAACCATCTAGGATGAAGATAGTTTTCATGGTATCCGTGTGGTGTGTTATTTACTCACAGAGTGGGAGTTGGTCCCTTTTCATTTATTCCTTGATTCGCCCATCTACAGGCATTCAATGAGCACTGTTACGTCCCAGGCGCTGGGAACCTATAACTGTAATGGAGCTGCTTTCTTTTTAGTGCCTAGCCTGTCTTGTATCTTTTTGAAACAATTGCTTAAAATCCATATGAAGGGATTTACTCACTTTTAGTGTTTTCTTGTCACCCCTCTTGTGATTGGATAGCCTTCCTAATTCCCATCTCCCTCTCTGTTGCCTCTGCTGTCTTTATTGATAATTACTTCTGCCTGAGGCAGCTATTTGAAGAGATCATCAGTTTTCTTAAATTCATTTATTATGGCTCAGTTGGGAATATCCTGGAAAAATGAACCTGCGATATCCTATCACATTTCAAAGAGATAGTAATAGTTTGGGTCATGAGTACACAGCTGAGCATAAAACACTGCTGACAGGTCAGAGAAAGCCCAAAAAAGTAAGTGTAGAAAGAAAGAGAACAGTTTCTTAATATTGAGAACACTGTGGACCCTTTATCTGCTGTTAAATTGAGCATGACTTTCAAGCCATGCCTCCTAATTAATTTAATTCAGTGTTCTGGCATCAGTAAGTAATTGAGTTATAAAAGAATTCAGTGTAACACCTTAGGACGTTTTGTTGCTGAAAGGTTCATTGCAGAGTAGAACAATTCAGTGATTGAAATAGGGGTGTTTGATGTTCACAACTGGGAATTAAGGATAAGGTAAGGACTTCTTTAACAGACCACAAAAAACATGCAGCAGGCTGCTGGCTACCTTTCAGTATTGCTGTCCGTTTGGGTTAGAGGATATAAGCTTGGTACCAGAACACTCTGAACACCATCAGTTCCTTCCTGGCCTCCCCCAGGTGAGGTTCTCTCGATTGCCACTGGAATCAGGAGAACGTTGCAGAGGAATTGCACGGCTGGTCCCAAGATAGCCCAGAGAGGCTCAGGCTGCTAATCCAAGGGTCAAATATTAGGACCACAAGATTGAAGAGGCTGAATAATTGGATTCAATTTAGCTGGGTTAATTTAATCAGAATGTCAGGGGATTTATCTACATTTTGGTCTCTTTACAATGGTTATGGTAAGTAAGAGGCATCAGGCGTAACCATCTCTGAGGGAGACAAATATGTAAGCCCCTAGACTCCTGTCAATGCGGGAGGGCTGCGGGTACAGCAAGTCGAGAACAATCTGCCCCTCTTCAGTCCAGGTGCCATGTTTAAATGGGGTCACGTACCATGTACCTGAGACTTTAATGCTTCTTACTCCACGAGGGTTACTCTTGGCCTTATTTTACAGAGACGATAACTGAGCTCAGACTGGTTAAATAACCACCAGGTTCCAGAGTGTATGAACCTTTGCACTGTGTCGTGTTCCTAAATAGAAATGTGGCTGCTGTATCAATAAAACAGTTCTGGAGAGCAAGGTAACACTTGTCCAGAAAGACTGAGCAATAACGAGCACCCAGAGAAAAGACATGGTATAATCCAGTTTATGTTCAGAACAGTTCTGAAGAGGAGGGTGTGTGTGTACATCTATGAGGTGTGTGAGGCTGGTATTATGTATCTTCATTTTCCTGATGGGGAAATTGAGGGTCACAGAGATTGTATTGCTATAGTCAGTGCTCATTATATGCAGTAGTTGCATTTCCGGAAATCATCGCACAGATCAAAAACTTTTAAAATGGGAGATGTATAAAACCCCAAATCAGGTAAAATGTTTGCACAGTAGTTTCGGGGTGAATTTTTCTATGTTATTAACACTAATGTTCAGATTAGATTGGACTCTCTTGCAAAATGAATCATGACTGTCACACCTTAACCCCTTTAAATCTGCTCAGCTCTGTTTCCTGCTCATTGTCAGTACTGAGCTCACCTCTGTAAAACCAATTTAGCCCTGAACTTCATTTCTGAAGGACAGGATTGCCACTTTTAGCTTCGTTTATTTTTAGTTTTTTTTTTTTTTCTTTTGTAACTGCACTTAAACATATGTAAAAATCCAGGTGAAGCCTTAAACAAGCACTTGTGTATGTGCACTTGTGAACTGCCTGGGAGCAAGAGGAAAGAAAGTCCTGGCACAGGAAGTACGAGGGTGTTGGAGGCTTCTTAGTGGTTTTCTGCAGTCTTACATTGAGGATATATAAAACCTGCAAAAAAAAAAAAACAATTATAGGGAAAGTTGGCTGTATATGGTATGTAAATAATTTCTTACTGTTCTCAGTGGGCTCTAAATGAATCTTGAAGAACCTATTCTCTTAAATTTTGTTTACCTTCGTCAGTGTTGTTGGACTGTGTTATTCAGTGATGCAGACTATGAAGAAGAATGAAACCTTAAAAATAGCATTAGGGTGGAATTTGGGGTTCAATTCAGTTTCTGTAGTTCGAATTTCGTTGTCTGGAGTGTGGTTAGAAGCATAATTTCTTTCATGTGTTTGTCAGGAAAGATAAGATCTGAAACTTATTTCAGTTTGTGTTTTGCTTTAGTTAAGAAACGGATACACCTATTATAAGGTAGAGTGATTTATAAAAAACAACAGCTAGTCAATTTGTATGAACTTCAACCGGAGGTAAGACCTATCTCTTTTGGTAGGGTCTTTAGAATAGATGGAAATAGCCTTGAAACTTATAAACATTGGAGTTTTCTAGGGCAGTCATAAGTTTTTTAGGGCTTAGATATTTGTTGAGAAAGATGAGTTTGTGAGTTAAGCTTATTAACTAGAGTATTAGGGGGCCAGGGAGAGGCAGAGATTACCATTAGATTTAGAACACAATCTTTTTTTTTGTTGTTAATCACTGTTTCTAAGCTGTTAATAACCTTAAAGCAGGTAGGGGTAACTTTGTTTTCTTTTTATTATGGAAAAAAGAAAACAAAAAAAAAATTCAGACTTACAGTGTATGTGTTACATGAAAAATTGTGAGGCAAAAGGAGTAAGTTTGATTGCTTGTGCAACCTAAGGCAGATGAGAAATGGAACAATAAGGTACTTCTAGAGTTTTAGGGAGAAAATGAGTTTTTAAAAGCATGTGTAATTTTATTTCCACATTAAATATCAGTAGGATGGGGTACATTATTAGGCTTTTCATTTTCTTGTAGAGACAGTATCATTTTGTGTAATTTTAGTTTTCAGATACAGTGTGTGTGGATGGGTGGGCAGGAGGATTCAATGGGAAGACCAATTAGGAAGAATGTTTATTCTTCCAGTTCTTAAAAGAATTAAAGTAGTTTTTCTTTTGAATATATATGACAACTAATAGTTTCACAATCTTTTATGGTAAAAGTCAGGATTTCCCCCCATTGCTATTCTGTTTGCTGGCTAGGACCAGAAAATGACAGAGAGAAAAATGAAAACTAGTAAGGATTTACACAGCTGGCTCAGTAGACTTTCAAGACTTTCCCTGGACCGTTTCTGTCATTTGGCTCCCTGTGTTGGGGAGGAACAGGTGGGTGTTTATATGGTATAAGTTGGAGAACACTGTGAGTCTCAGGGTTTTGATCACAAAGGGATTCGTTAAAGCCTGCAGCAGAGCATCTTGCTTCAGTGGATACATTGCCTTCTTCTGTGGTAAACTCTCCCTCTGCCTCCCCCTTACAAGGACACCTGTGGTTACATTTAAGGCTCACCTGAGTAATCCAGGATAATCTCCCCATTTCAAGATTTGTAACTTAATTATGTCTGCAAAGGCCCTTTTGATGTAAGGGAACATACGCATAGGTTTTGGGAAACAGGATGTATATATCTTTGGGTCTGTTATTTAGCCTATGACAGGTACCAAGGACTTCTGCACCTGTGTGATCCATGGTTAAAAGCTGTTAGCATAATTATAAGAGCTGTGTAACTGTAAAATTTAAGTTTTTTTTGTAAACTCCTTTTTGGTTGTTGTTTAAAAAGAAAATTGAGATATTTCAGTGGTGGAGAAAATGTTAATTTGGTTTAACCACGATAATTCTAGCCATGAAAATACCATAAAGTAAGTTCAGAGTACCACGAAGTCATAAGGGCAGGCTTTAGAGAAGTGGCCATGGAGATTGACAAAATTCTAGGAGACACACAGTTAAGGGCCTTCTTGACAGGCAGGATAGTAGGATCAAGGTCCAGAGATAGGAAACTAGGGACTTAGGTCAGGACATAGTGTAAAGTGGATTAGTTGAAGCAAGGAGTGAGGAGAGAGGAAGTGGAGTGGTAAGCTGGCCCTAGGTTTGGGGTGGAGGAATTTGTAATTCAATTTGTTTGTCAGCCTGAGAGAGCAGTGTAGGATGATTGGGTGTGGGAAGGAAACCACTATTGCAGAAGCCAGAGAAAGGCCTGAATTAAGAGGATGGTAATGTGAATGGAAGAAGGAGAAATTCTGGAGGATTGTAGTGGGAGTTTGGCAATTGAATATTAAGTATGAAGCAGGGAGGGAAAAAATGGAGTGGAAGGCGACTTGAAAATTTTAAGCCTGGGTAACTGGAGCAAGAAAGTTGTTTGTGGTATTATGCTTTATAGAATGCCTATGTGTTTAGGGGTTTAGGAGAAGAAGGAATATTCCTTTAGTGAAGGAATAAGCAGAGCTATGGGAAAAGCACCGTGACTATGTGGTGTCTGAGAGGTAAGGGGAAGAGAGAATTGTGAGAAGGAGATTGGGTCGGCAGGTTCAGATGCTACAGAAGCATAGGGCAAGATAAAGGCCATTGAGTGGGGCTGTGCCAGGGGTCCCCACACCATCCTCAGACTCGTCGATTTGCTAGAAGGACTTACAGGACTGAGAAAAGCTGGTTGCAATTTATTACAATAAGTTGGATACAGATTAGAATCTGCAAAGAGATAATGTGTGTGGAATGAAGTACAGGAAAAGCCAGGCACAAGGTTGCAGGTGTCCTCTTCCAGCGGAGTCACACAGACATGCTTAATCTCTTAGCAGTAATGTGTGACAACACATGAGAAATGTTGACAATGAGGAAAGCTCACCTGAGCCTCAGTATCCACAGTGTTTATTGGGGGTCAGTCATGTAGGCATGTAGCACCTACATGACTGATTTTAGCTATTGAGGCTCCAGCCCCCAGAGCAAGAAGATTCATCATAAATTACAGTTAGCATAAATCATTTAATCAACAGGTATTGTGTGGCCAAAAGCTTCAGACATACCCAAAACACTTTTTTTTTGAGACAGAGTCTTGCTCTGTCGTCCAGGCTAGAGTGCTGTGGCGTCAGCCTAGCTCACAGCAACTTCAAACCCCTGGGCTCAGGGGATCCTCCTGCCTCAGCCTCCTGAGTAGCTGGGACTACAGGTGCACACCACCATGCCCAGCTAAGTTTTCTATTTTTAGTAGAGATGGGGTCTCACTCTCTCAAGCTGGTCTTGAACTCCTGACCTCAAGTGATCCTCCCGCCTTGGCCTCCCAGAATGCTAGGATTACAGGCGTGAGCCACTGAAATAAAATATTACAAGGGCTCGGAGGTGAGCTCTCAGGAGCCAGTCATGGGCCCGTCCTGAAGGCAGGCTGATCTTGGGAATGTGCAGGGTTTGGGCAGCCCAAGCCTGCTGAGTTATCTCTTCCCTGCACGATGGCTGCAGATGAAGGGACAGAAAGATAGGTCTGTAGCTTAAGAGAATTAGTAGTATTTTTTTTTTTTTGAAGCAAGGAGAAGATAAATATTTTGTTAATAGAAGAGAGGAGACATTAGAGGGAGGGATAGAAAATGCAGGCATAAGAGAAGTGATAATGATTGGAACAATGTCTTAGTGATGGTAAGGTTTCCTTTGGAAGGGAAGAAGATGCTTTTTTCTCAGAGAAAGGAGCAAAAAGGAAAGAGCAAGATAGCGATAAAAAGGGATATATTGTCAAATGATCAGGCAGTTCCCAAGCAGCAGCGACTACTACTGCAGCTGCCAGACAGTTTGTTGCTTGCTGCGCAGCAGGTGGCATGAGCTTCGTGTTCACATTGTTTCTCTTGGTTGTCCAGTCCTGTGGGGCAATGTGGAGGTGGACTGAGGCAGATACTATGCACACAGTAGGTCTTTGTCACAGCTGAGGAACACTGAGCTTAGGAACCCTCTAGTCTTATAAGGGGCTGCTAGAGATCCTGCTCAACCTTTGTCCTGAAGGAATATGTTATCTTACACTGATTAGGAAATAAATCTTCCCTCTGACCTGGAGGGAGAAACTGTCTAGCTTCCAAGGCTGTCTGTTTTGTAAACATTCTTGAACAAAGCTTTCAATGCCCTTTGCTCAGAAGATATTCAGAAATGCCAGACCCCTGAAGAATTCTCCCAACAAATACACATTTATATTTATACAAATTATTTGTATATATATTTATAAATGAAGAAATTTTTAGGTGTAGAAGAGAAGTTGAGGAAGATCACTTGGGATATGTCCACACTTTCAAGTTCTGAAACACTGCATTGACTCAATAAGTCAGGATCTGTGTATTACCCATCCTTTTCCCTCGGAGACTAGTACAGTGCCTTGAGCTAAGTAGGTGCTCAGTGAATGTTTGTTGAATGATGAATGAATGAAGAGACTGTCTGTTGAATGGTGAATGAATGAAGATCTTTAAAAGTTGTGTCTTCTCCTTGAGAGAGAATGTGGACTCCCTAGATGATTATTGGAGAGTTTATTTGGCCTGATGGTCATATGTTCTCTGCATGTCTATTTATTAAAGCACATTTCACATAGCAAAATGTACTGATCTAACTGACATATAGTTAGGGAGTCTACTTTAACAATAAAATATTTTTTTAAAAGGATAAGTAACTGAATACAAGAAAGACGTTTTGAGAAATGTGATGGATTTTAGAGGAAAATATCAATTTTGATTTGGAAAACTTCTTTATGCAATACACATTTTACTTATGTAATACAAATTTATTGATAAATTATATCATTTTAGTATGGTCTTTATAATGTTACTGCCTGTGTTTCCAGGTGGTGCCCTAAAGTAGCAGTTCCTTGCTGCTAGTACTGAAGAGTCTATTAAAGAAAAACTCTGTGTAACAGATGTGCTTTCTCCTGTGTGAATTGGTGTCTGTAACAGTGACTTTTATATACGTGGAATCAGATGGCTAGGAAGCAATTTTAATGTTCTGTTAGGTCTTTAAAATGGGAATACATTCAGGTTTCTGTTGTTGAGGCTGTTGAGCAGCCATCCAGGTATGAAAATGAGAAAGATTTGACTGCATCTCTCGTGAAGAAAAATAGAACAAGGGCCTATGCAGAAAGTCGGGGGAGAGAGAGACAAGTTAGCTTCAGAGAGATTCATTTGCACCCAGTTCTGTTCTACCCTACTCTTATCATCTGTGCGCTTCTGCCCCCTGCAGAACGAATCAGCCTGACGTTTTATCAACTTTTTGAAAGGTGGGGTGAAGTGGTGTGGAACACATCAGAGGGGTGAAGCCGGGCAAATCTGAAAGAGAGCAGAGCATTTCATCTGATACCCTCTAAGTGCTCTCCTCCTCCTCTCAGGGAGCCAGAAGAGGCTGAATTGACGTCCACTCATTTCGGTTCATCTGCTACCTCCATGTTACGCTGATACTAATATATTCAAAATAAGAAAAGAGCAGTTCAGGCAGTTACTGTGTCACACGCAGTCATCAGTTTTTCTGCAGCCCCACAACCACACGGGATTCCAGGGTTTACTTTGACTTGGACTTACCTCAAAGTGACCTGTGGATTGAGCATATAACTTTTTAATTAATTACTGGTTTTATACATACATGGTACTGTTGCTTTGAAAGTTCCTAAGGGTTTATTAGAGGTTTCTAGAATTATCAACTAAGTCTGGATAGAAACACATTGTGTGATAAAAAACCTTTCTGGTATTTTAATAAAAATGTGCTGATAGCAAGTATAAATGCCAGTTAAGTCCTGAGTGCTGGTGTGCATGAGTGCATGAATGTACGTGTATGGATGAAGGAAATAATCTGTAAATCATGGCTCTCTTAGTATTATATGTCTCTTCCCAAAGTAACTCAGCATTTTCTCGTGAAAAATAAATCGACATTTGAAACAAAATTTTTAACTTGTTAGTGTTGCATTCAAATTGAATTCTGTACAGCTGATGATTATTTTTGGATGCCTTCCAGAGACAGATGGGACTGTGTTCAGAATTCACACAAAAGCCGAAGGACTTACGGATGTGGATATACCCTTGAAATTGGTGTTCCATTTGCCGGTCAATTACCCTTTGTGTCTTCCTGGCATCTCCGTTAACTCTGAATACCTGACCAGGGCCCAGTGTGTGGCTGTGAAAGAGAAGTTGCTTGAGCAAGCAGAGAACCTTTTGTCAGAGCCTATGGTCCATGAGCTGGTTCTCTGGATTCAGCAGAATCTCAGGTATATCCTTAACCAGCCAGAAACTGGAAGTGGCAGTGAAAAGTGTACTTTTCCAACAAGCACGACTGTGGATGATGGATTGTGGATAACTCTTTTGCATTTAGATCACATGAGAGCAAAGACTAAATATGTCAAAACCGTGGAGAAGTGGGCTTCAGATTTAAGGCTGACAGGAAGACTAATGTTCATGGGGAAAATAATACTGATTTTACTACAAGGAGACAAAAGCAACATCAAGGTGCCAAAAAGTTAAATGTTGAATATGAATCTGGCTGTTTTCTGCTTAAAATGATTTGTCTTTAAGTATGTTTTATAACAATGGGATAGATTAATCATTGAGATGTTTCTGCTTTCACTATTACCATATTAATGGATCTTCATTTTCTTTTTTAAGAATGTCTAACTCCTAATCGCAACTACAAACTTTCAAAGCTTGAAGAATAAGTATAAGATCAGATTTTAAAAATCATGCCACTTAATGAAAGTGACAGGTTATAAAAAATCTGTGGCACATGAGTGTTTGTTTCTGTAATTAGCTGTGTGCCTCAACTTTGTAAATGTGCGCTAACAGTTTGTGCATATTAATATTTCTTTCCATGGTTAGGCACAGCAAGGTGTATATTTGTGGGTAATCTGCAATATTTGTAACTTCTGGCAGTTAAAAATACATTCTGACATTTTAATTTGGTGTCTATAATACCTGGAAAGAGGAGCTTGTCCCTTATAACCAAGATTTCGTGTTAGTAGAAGCAGAATCATTAGGACTGTCAGCTTGTCACCTCCTACCTAACTTTTGCTTTCTACTTGACTTGTCTCAGCAGCTGCTTTCAAAATCATCATCTTCTTAAGATTTTTCAAGTTCTTATTCTATACTCATCGAACCTGTTTTACGAGGGACCAAATGAGGAAAAGTGCTTATTGTATTTTAAATCATAGGAGAGCTACAAATCACTTGATAGATTTTGTACTTTCAGATAGGATGGGTCAGGAATAATTATATTTGAATTTAGTTAAAACAAATTTAGTGTGAACAACCTATAATCTTAAAGATTTGTAGAATAATGACCTAGTTTTTTAATGATGAGCTCTTACCACAAAACTATTTTGGCATTTGATTGACCAGATTCGTGCTGGATTATGGTATATGGATACAACAATAATTCAGATTTAATATATATCCTGGATAGAGTCCTGACCAAGGAACCATGTATTTGAAGGTAATTTGTAGTATATCTATAATATTTGATCCTTTTGGGTAAAATACTAGCTGACATAAATGAATACAAGTTTATTTTCTTGCTCTTACTTACCCAAAAGGCTCAGATTTTTCTTTAAGTCAGCTCTAGCTTATTAGGCTAAATGCAGCTGTTTTGTGATGTTACTCATATTGAATCATCAATTAATTAACAAATATTTATTCATAAGACTAGAACTCTGCTAATGGAGAGAAATGGTACTTTTCTGAGAGTTCTTTTTTTTTTTGCTTTCTCTAAAATGTCATTTTATGTAAATTTCTCTGTTAAATTTTTGTAAGATTGTATATTAGGATTGAGAATGATCAGATACATATTTATAGATGCTATCAACTTGGAATGGTAAGTATTGTGTGCCTGATAACTTCATTCAGCTGCTGAATTTGTAATAACAACAGTAGCGTGTGCTCTGTTGTGTACCATAGCACCCTATACCAGGTACTCCTCTGGGTGCTTTGCATGTATTATCTCATTTAATCCTTACAAATTCACCATGAGATGGATCTTGTTATGAGTCCTATTTTATGGAGGAGGTAACTGAGGCACCGAGGACTGACACAACCAGCCCAGAGTCAGAGGTAGCAGGTGGTCCACTGCAGATTTAAACTCAAGTTGTTTGATTATATTGCTCTTTACTTCTGCATTCTCCAGTATGTTATTCTGTCAAGTATGTAAAGACACTGTGCAACTCTCTTAACTGCTTGATTCAGAGAGCACTGTGCAAGCATGAAAATAAGCCTGTCAGTTTATGGCTCCTTTAAAATTAGGACTTGTTAAGGTTCAGAGTAAGATATGTATTTAACGTGCTGATTTATCATTTAGGAGTACCTGATTCTTCAGAAAACCTCCAAAGTAGATGTGGACTCAAGTGGAAAGAAATGCAAAGAAAAAATGATTAGTGTACTCTTTGAAACAAAAGTACAGACGGAACACAAAAGGTATAATTTAGTACTATTGCAGATAGAAAAGCAACTGAATCAGTAATTATACTCTGACAAATCTAGGCATATTCATGAGTTTCTCTCGTATAATGCAGGTTTTTGGCATTTGAAGTCAAAGAGTATTCATCGTTGGATGAATTACAAAAGGAATTTGAAACCGCAGGACTTAAGAAGCTTTTCTCTGAATTTGTACTTGGGCTGGTAAAATGAAATGGAAGAGAGGAATCTTTTAGTAAAATAGCAGTGTGTTTTGTTGTTTTTACACTGGATTTTGGGAGTGGCTAATTGAAATAGTCACGAAGGAGCAATTTTAAAGTTTCTCTGAAGCAAAATGATAGACATCATCTTAACTTTAGGAACAAAGCTAGTTCTGGTTTATAAAGTAGTAAACATTAAAAAACCTCATGTATTCTAATGTTTGCCAGGAAAGACTAGGTTCAATAGTTGAAACATTATTTGAAAGATAAATTTTAAAAAGGTGATGGTAAATTGGCCCTTGTTTTTATATAGAAAATCTGTTTGAAATTATGCGATTTTCTGGCTCATTTTCTTGTAAATAAATGAATTTTTAAAAAAGAGATTTGTTTTCATGTTTACTTTTTTTCATGTTTACATTTTTAGCATTTCATCACCATTTTCCCCCATTCAGCTTACTATGTCTGATGTTTTAAGTTGGATGTTAAGAAAAATGTAACACTGATTTTTTTTTTTTTTTGCATGTGGAATAGTATAAATTGTTAGTTTAAATACAAAACAAAGAAGTTCTATAGAACCTGATTAACAATTGCTTTCTTTGGGGTGATAGCATGGTACATGCTAACTATAGAACTATAGAGTCAATTTAAATTAAAATTCTTATTTGAAAAATTTACTTTCTGGTTTTACAAGGGAGAAATGTTGACACAGAATGAACTTAGCTTGCTGTGTGGAGGGAATTTTATAAAGATACTTTTTTTTATTTCCTATGAAATCTATTAAAGCATGATAAAATATATTTATTATGACCTAAGGAGAGAAGAAACCATAATAAAATTTACAACAAAAATATAAGTAGGCATTTGTGTCTGAGAAAGGATATTTGTGTGCAGGAAGCCACCAGGGCTGCAAAAATAAGGGACTGAATCATGGAAGAAAGGCCAAGTAAATCCCTCTCACTGCAACCTATGAAGTACAGTGATGCCATTATAATATTATAACTGATGGCGAAGACACGTGAGGGAAGCACTGTGGCGTGCTGAGTAGTGTTTTTTGATGGTGCTGCTCTCTTAATGATGGCAGTTCAATCTGATCGTTTTCAGGTGCCCTTGTAATTGTACCCACCTTTTGATTATTTTATGGGGTTATATTAAGGAGGGGGGATTTTCAGTTTGATTTATTAAAAATCTCATTCTAGGGTGCCTGTGATTTTTTGCTGGAGGACTGGTAAACGTAGTTAGATTGTTGTATGGGAAGAGCACATATGGCAAGAAGAAGCCACCCTACTGGGATGCAAAACTGAGAAAATCGGCTTGAAAATTTTGGGCTGGTCATTATTACCCCTTCATTTGATTTACTGTAGTTGTAGTGAAAATTAAAATAATGAAAAAGAATAAGATTGAGAATATTGTCCATATAGTTGAGAAGGATTGAGGAAGATCATAATTTAATAACATTAAAAGTTATCACCATCAAGGCTATAACAGCAGCAATGATAGAAGGCTGGGTTTGAATTTTATCACCACAGAACTTCTAGTCCTCTATTTTACCATGCCTCTTCTCTGCAAAAATATCTTCCTACTCATGCTTTATGGTACTCTTTTAAACTTTGATCTTCAAATTTTACTCTCTACCCCTAAACAAAGCTTGAATCAGGTCAAATTGAGTGTTAGCTGTAATGATTTTCTCCAATTTAATTATTTTTCTATCTGTTAAAATTATGTAAAAATAGTATTGGTTATTATTACTTTCTTGGATGTTTACATCTGTCTTTCACAAATCCATACACTTCAGAATGAAAAGCTAAACCTTGACAGTGTCAGCAATTTCTATAAATGTAATTCAAACTCTGGATAAAAGAAAATTTAAATTATATACTAAAAAGCTATGAATGTCTTTGGTATTTCTTTAATTTTAGTATTAGAAGAAGAGAATCTTAATTGTTTCCATTGATGTTTTTGCCTCAAACTCTGTTGCTTTCTTTTCAGCTTCAGATACTTATGAAAAGATAATTAGGACTTCTGCTTCAGTAATGTTATGCAGACCAGCTTCTCACTGAAGAAAACTAAAAACAAAATACAAAACACATGCTCTTAAAAGTATCAAAGAAGATAGTGAGAATTGCTGTGTTAACCCTGGAAGGAGAGAGGAATCCAGAAAAGTGAACCCAGCACTTGGGGCTAATTTGCCAATCTGGAAGGTTTAGCTGAAGGGCTTAGTTAATTTTTGGCAGCTTGAAGATCTAGGGAGTAAAAATTTAGGGTCTGGAGGATAGAAGAGGTAGGGCCAAGAGCTGGGACCCCCGAAGGACAACACTGTAGAAATAAAGGTGAACTGTTAATAAACCAATTGTCCGGAGTCGGAGGAGGAGATGCGGTGATGGAAGCAGAGGTCAGAGTGAGGCAGCGGCTGGCCCGAAGGTGGAGGGGCCATGGGCAATGGAACATGCAAACGACAAGGAGTGAGTTCTCCCGAGAGCCTCCAGAAGGAACACAGACCTGCAGATACCTCGATTTTAGCCCCATAAGACCCATTTCAGATTTCTGACCTCCAAAACGGTAAGAAAATTAGTGTTATGTTAAACAGCTATTTGTGTGCTAATAGCAGCAATAGAACACTAATACAGGACTATTAATCTTTTTAGTACTTTTAGTATCCTATTAAGTCAGAAATTCAGCATTTGAATAATTATATCTCATATTGTTATAAATAAATAAACCAATTTTCCTAGACTGTAGCTATGGTTTGAACATTCTGGTAGGTCCGGAAAATCTTAAACCTTGAACTTGGATTAAGATAATTCATGATTCTAATGCTCTCAAATCCTCAAAATTTGAGCAAGATAACATCCTCCTAGGACTCAAATTATATCTATGAACTATTTAAAAATTCAGTATCCAGCAAACAATCAGAGGTAATTTGGTACATGAAGAGACAAGATACTGAGTGAGAAACAAAAAACACAATAGGCAATAGAATTAGACCTGCAGGGACTTCAGATGCTAGAATGATCAGACATAGATTATGAAACAGTTATGCTTAAAGTGTTCGAGGAGATGAAAACCAAGCTTGAAACTGAAATTAGAAACTGTAAAGGTAGCATGGCATATTTGAACAAAACAATAAATAGAATTTCTAGAACTGAAAAATGCAAGAATTCAAGACATGGTTAATTAGTTTAGGTCTAGTTTAGAAAATCAGAAACCAGTCTAGGTACTTCAAATAGAGTAAATTTAAAACAGACATTGGTTACAAATTAAAAAGTCTGGAAGAGGGAGAGAGAGTGAGGCTGGATGAGAGAAAAGAAAAAGAGAGTAAGGGGAATTGCTTAGAGTTCAGAAACTGCTAAAAGCCTGTATCTGCTGTTGCACTACTGGAGATTTCTGTAATTGGTTCTAGATCTGCTCAAATGCTGCCTAGACCAGAGCTAAAAATTGCTGATCTCTGGTCTGTTGAAATTTAGAATCACTCTACCCTTGCTGCCACTGTAGCAACTGCCAACAACTACCACAGTGCTTAGAACCTGTGCTACCTTCTAATCTCCCAGAAGTGCCTCCTATGGACAAACCTAACAGGAATTGAGCTGGCAAAGAAGTCTGGGAAATATAGTGTGCAGGCTCTCAACCTCAGGAGAACAGAAAAGACTACAGGAGGATGGGTGTGTGTGTGTGTGTGTGTGTGAAGTGGGGGATAGGGAGCTTAATGCCCGTAGTAAATAACCAGCATTGTCCTCTGTTTCAGCTATTAAGCATCCACATACATCCTTCTACCCATATTTAAATTTAAATTTTTATGCAGCAATAACAGTTTTATGCTTCTGTCTATGCAGATTTGACATCTTTTGTATAAGAAGAAACTCATCTTTTCTCCAAAAAGGGGAGAAACAAAGTCCCACCAGTTGCTATTATCCTTATTGGTGTTAATTCTTTTAGTTTAGTCACAATCCCATCTGGGTATTCTGGGGCCTGAAGGTTAAATTGTGAAGTTCACTACCACCAACACTCCTTGTGTAGCATGATAGGGGGAAAGAGGAAGGAGGAAGGAAAAAAATAGTTGCTGTATACAAAGATATATAGAACATGCAATGAAGCAAATTTGCATAACTACTTTGGTGGTTGTTTCTATAACTGGTCATGATGCTACAGTTGATATTTGTAACTTCTTTCTCTGTTTTATTTTTCTTCACTCCTGTACAGCACTTCAGCTGGTCAGGGTTCTTTACCTAGTAGGGTAGCTGGATTTTCATTCTGGGTGGGCCTGAGTCCTTAGTAGTTGGGTTGTTTATTAATTTTCGCTATTAAATGAGAGAGTCTTAAGAGGCAAACCAGAGAATCCCCTGGGTTCCTGACATAGTCTATTTGATCCCATTGTGTAGCAGCAACACAGTCTCATTGTAATAATCTCACTCCAGCCAATACAGGAACCTCTCTCTTTGCTTGTTGGTTTAGTGTCATAAGAAGCCTAATATATCTAGGTGTCAGTCTCAACTTCTAATTCATTTGAATCGTTTTATGTGCCTGGTAGAAGCATTCTTTACTTGTGAACTAAGACCTCTAAACTAGCAAAGCCCAAGGTTACAGGGATGAGAATAAAAAATTCGGTGAGAGAGTTATTAAGTATAATACTGAGAGGAATCAATCTTGTTTTTATCCCTTGATTCCTGAATCCATGTGTTCTGGCAGGGGGAGAAATAAAATCATGTGTTGATCACTGGTTCAAAGAATATGCTACATCTTGTATGATGGCATCTAAATCTTTCAGGGCCTTGTCTCCCACCTGGGCTAATAATTGAGTCCTAATAGGGCATTATATTATTCTATCAAGTCAGCCACTTCTGGGTGACCTGGTACATGGAGAGACCTATGAATTTCATAGTCATAAGCCCATTGCTATATTTCTTTTGTTATGAAATAAGTTTCTTATTTAGAAGTTATATTGTGAGGGATACCATGTCTGTAAGATCATGGTTGGTAGTTTTATAGGAAGGGATTTCAGATTCATACCTGGAAGAAGTTACCTATTTAGTGAGGTCAAATTGCTGGCCTTTCCATTAGGAAAGGGTTCCAGTGTAATTAACCAGCTACCAGGTAGCTGGTGTTTCCTGGGAAGTGAGGCCCTCTTGGTGGCTCAGTATTGGTTTTTATTCTTACTAGGTTAGGTACTCAGCAGTGACAGTTTCAAAATAAACATTGATGAGAGGAACTTCATGTTGTTGTGTTCATGCAGAACCTCCATCCCCACTGCCATATTTACTTTGTACATGAGTCCACTGAGCAAGAGAAAGAGGCTGACACCCACAGGATGAATCAGCCCAGCAATTTGATTAACAAAGGCCTTCTCTGCAGTGATTGCCCTTTTCACGTGGGACACGAGTATTTTCACA